CAGCATGTGATTGTTACAGAATTCAATGTTAATTTTTCGACCACTTTTCTCTTAAAATATTAAATAAATTAAGCTAGTTTTTTGTGAATAACTCTAAAATATCATAAAGAAGGGCAGTGATGTGAAAAAGTTTTAATATTTTTAAAATTATTTATTAAAAAATAACTTTAAAATTATCAGTTCTCAAAATCACTTTTAATCAATTTCTCGTCTTTTCCGATTTCAAAGTATTTTTTTATAATTTATTTTAGAATTATTAAAACTTTTGCACATCACTGCTCTTCTTTATTATATTTCAGAGTTATTCACAAAAAACTAGCTTCATTTATTTAATATTTTAAGAGAAAAGTGGTCGAAAAAATTAACATTGATTTCTGTAACAGGCACATGCTGTTTAATTATTATAAAACATGAAGCAATCGATCGCTCCGAGTTGAAGACTCGGAGTTATCGATATCTTCATGTTTTTTAATTATGAAAAAATCTAATTTATAGTTTTAAGTTAAATGTTCTCTTATATATTTTTGTCAGTAATTGGTCCGTAAATGGTCCGTAATTTTTCATTTTTGGTCCGTAAAGTCCGTATTTTTAAATACTTTCACTGGTTCGAGCCCTGTACATGGTTTTCTATTTTTAGTTTTAATATTTATTTTTTCGCTAGCATTTAACATTAAAGTGTTGGAATTTTTGTTCTGCAATTACGATTTTATTAAAAAATAATCCATTTTATTTAAGTTTTTATAATTGTATAGATCATGGAAAATGCCAAGGAAGCGAAGAAGCGTAACATGTTTTCAAAAAATCAATCGAGAGTATCGAGTAAAGGAAGAAACATAACAACTCCAAAAAATATTTTGAGCACTTCCGAGGATGAATTAACCATAAAAAAGTCTAAGAAATCATCTTCATTAGATGAAAAAATGAAGGTTTTAAAGAATCTTGCAGTACAATTTCAGTTAAGAGAAACTACAAATATGTAAGTTATTTTGACATTCATTTTATTATATCTCACAAAGCAAAATAAGTTAATATTAAAAATTCCTTCCTAACTTATCTATTTCTCTTCTTTGGGTTATGCTTTGCTTTCCTTAGCTGTTAAACCGTGAAAAAATAATTGATCTTTTCAAAATATTATTCTGAGTTTCCTCAATTTACCTTTTATTTCTTTTTTATGCTTTCTGCTTTATTATTGAAAAATTTTTATCAACCAAAAAGAAGAATATTTATATGTATACCCCATAATGTATACCCAGAATTATTTTAAATACATTAAACTGTAGATTTCAAAATATATGTTGATTCTTTTTCCAGATCCGGTGAAAAAAATTCTCCTGCTCTTGTTAATCCTGGAATTACAACTGGTTCCAACAATTAATCATTGCTTCATGTTTCTAAAGGAAAATCAAACCAGTCGAAACAAAAAAAAATTGATCATTCGTAAGTGGACTGAACTTATTTTATTTTTATGCTACACTATTTGCTATAAACCCTTAAAAAGTCAGAGTAACCACATGTCAGTAAAATCCGAAAAATGTTAATACAACAAAATTTTTTGCTGGGAAATTTAGAAAATTGAGATTTTTTCGACTTACTATTAAAAATTGTGACTTTCTTGATCTTTCCTCCAAATATTGCAACAAAATATCATATTTTTAGTACTAAATGAGTTACAACTCATTTCGATTTTTATAGTGCGAAAAATAACTAAAGAAATATCTCAAACATTATTTTTGAATCATATTTCTACTTAAATTTTTCGAAATATACAATTGAAACGATTTTGTAAAATTTAATTGAAAAGAATTATTTTTTTAAAAGTATTTTATATATAGTAATGATTCTATCACTCGGTCTACAAATTATTAAGATGATGAAAAAAATTCTGACTCGATCCTGACTCGAAGTGATCGATTTTTTTCATCATCTTAATAACTTAAAGTATTTTGGTAGAATTTTTAAAAATCAACTTTTCAAGAATTTTAATTGGAAACTTTAAAAATTAATTGAATTATGAAATTAAAATTATTTAAAATAATTTATTTGGAGATGAAATTTAGATTAAATTAAATTTAAATTCGAAATAATTGAATCCAGGAAGGGTAATAATTGTAATTTTTAGAAATTATTAAGTTTCATTAGTCAGAATTTTGTCAGAGAAAATAATTTTAATGTCAGTAAATTGTTAGGGATAGAGCTTAGGGGGTTAATTGTGCAAAAACTGCCCCTGCATCTATTTTTCTCAAATTTGGCCCATATATTACACTCCATATGACTATAACTTTCTGCAATTTGGAACTCGAAATTCGCTTTTTTGGGGCAGTTATGAAGGGGGAACAAAAAAACAAAAAACTTATTTTTCTCGAAAACTACTAAATCGATTTTAATGAAATTTAAATATGTGATATTTGTTATGTATTTTCTCATTTCATTCTCTTATGTGATCTACTTAATAAAAAATTTTTCCCGACATGATTTCAAAGTGTGTCACGATAAATAACTCAAAAACCCTACCCGGTACATTTTTATGTGGTATGTAAATGGTTAATTTTAAAAAATCCTTCAAAGTTTTTTGCAACTTATTAATAGTGGGGTTATTGAGGTTGCTAAATACAAATCTGAAGTTGATATAAAACAATATTTTTCAGACAAATAAAAAAATTTTAAAATCAAATTTTAGGATTTTTTTAGTTATCATACCGTGTCGCACTCTAAAATCATCTAGGCCATTATTTTTTAAAAAGTAAGACTGTTAAACAAGTTAAATAAAAAAAGTCTGATGCACCGCTTCAATGATCCAAAAAGAAAAAAATTTTAAATGCAAAAATAAAAATTTTTGGTTTTCTTTTTGGAAATAATTTTTTTTTACATCGATTTCAGACTTGTATTCAGCAAATCACTGAGTATTAATTTGTAATTAAATAAATGAATAATTAATTAACCATTTACATAAAACATAAAAATGTACCGGGTAGGGTACATATGTGTCAAAGGGGACATTATACGGTACTATTTTCTATAAAAATTACAGTGATAACTTCAAAACTAACCCTCAAAAAATTTTTTTTGAAAGAAAAATTTTGATTTTTTTTCTAGAATTATCTTGTCCACATTTAAAACATATTTAAATTTCATTAAAATCGATTCAGTAGTTTTCGAGAAATATAAGTTTTTTGTTTTTTCGTTCCCCCTCCATAACTCCCCCAAAAAAGCGAATTTCGAGTTCCAAATTGCAGAAAGTTATAGTCATATGGATAGTAATATATGGGCCAAATTTGAGAAAAATAGATGCAGGGGCAGTTTTTGCACACTTAACCCGATAAGCCCTTTATAAACTCAATCTTGTAACCACGCTGAAAGTGATGTATAATTATATAACTCAATATTACTTGTAGTGTTAGGTATATAATACAAAATGTTTTATATAATTATTGATCTGCAGATTCAAAGAAATGTTTTTTTTTGCTTTCCTTAGCTGTTAAACCGTGAAAAAATAATTGATCTTTTCAAAATATTATTCTGAGTTTCCTCAATTTACCTTTTATTTCTTTTTTATACTTTCTGCTTTATTATTGAAAAATTTTTATCAACCAAAAAGAAGAATATTTATATGTATACCCCAAAATGTATACTCAGAATTGTTTTAGATACATTAAACTGTAGATTTCAAAATATATGTTGATTCTTTTTCCAGATCTGGTGAAAAAAATTCTCCTGCTCTTGTTAATCCTGTAATTACAACTGGTTCCAACAATTCATCATTGCTTCATGTCTCTAAAGGAAAATCAAATCAGTCAAACCAAAAAGAAATTGATAATTTGTAAGTGGACTTATCTTATTTCATTTTTGCATTTTACGTTATAATTTACTATAAACTCTTATAAAGTGAACTATAATTATATAACTCAATATTATTTATTTGTAAGGTCTCAAGGAAAAGATTTTGGTATTGTTGATGACTTAACAGCTACAAGTTCAGGTAATTCACAAATGGTTGGCTACTCAGGAAATGAAATATCAAAATTAAATGAGACAAAGACTGATAATTTGTGAGTGAATTTACTTTTTTCATCTTCGTAAATAGTTAATTTAAACTAATTACAATTCGATATTTTTTAGGACTTCCGGTAAGAATTCTTCTGCTAATGCTGAATTAATAATACCCAATTCTGTTAATTCCAACTCTGGTAAAATACCTGACAAATTGAATAAGAAAAATTCCCATAATATGTAAGTTAATCTTTAAATCTTTTTAAATTATTTTAAATCCGAAAGAACTGATATTTCATTTTGAAATAAACTACAAATAAAATAGTTTTTGGAACTTTCTTTTCCTAAGGCTATCAATAAATTTAATATTATAAGGTCGCAAGTAAAGAATTCTGAAATTTTTGATTCAAAACTTAGAGCTGGTTCTTCTAAGGCACCACAATTTCCACCGAATGGAACAACAAATTCGGAAGGGTCTGAAGAATCGTTTAATAATAATTTGAGGAAACCTTTAATGTTTGCTTCCAACTTCTCTGAAACCAGCAATAGAACTGAAACTTTCGTGGATTTGCCTATTTTAAGCATTCCGTCAGGAACATTTGAAGGTTTTGGTGAAATTTCCAGACATTTGCAGTTAGTATAAATTTTATAACTTGTTTTAAAACATAAAATTTTGTAAACATTTAATTTCCTTACATTTTTATTGATTTTTAACTGTTTTATATTAAAATATTTTTTAAAAGGGTCCTGCAATCGAGTGTAGATGAAATTCGTCAAAAGAGCGATGAGATTTTTAATCAAAATAAAGAAATCCTTCAACTATTGAGGTCACGCTTTAGTACTGAACAGCTGGCTAATAAATTATATCAGCACTTAGACGGTTTTCCTCTTAGCACTGTAGAGCAGTTCTCTAATTTAGAGGAAATAACAAGTAAACCCGAACGACAAAAAGTGGTAAGTCAATAAATACAGAAACTTCCATTTATCGAAAATTAAAAGTTTCATTTGCTGATTTGTCTTATACAATTTTTAGCATGACCATTTAATACAATTAGGTGGTACAAGTTTAAAAGAATTCTTGAGTTGTGCACTCCGTCAAGTAATGACCGATGAATTGGTCTTAAATTTCACGTGGCAGAAGCAGAAAGACACTGAAAAGTTTGGGGACACAAGGATTTCTAATATTTTTTTTCGTAAGTTTTTATATTTTTTATTCAACACAATATTTTCTTTTTATTTGGCTGAAATTTTTTCTCATTGAAATTAGTTCTTTATATTGTAATACTACACAAGATTTGTTAATATTCTGGATAAAGTTTTAATTAAGATGTCAGTGAAAAAACATCAATGTGCAAAGTTTTAAAACTTCCTTTTATCTTAGCGGAATTCTCATTTTTTATTTAATGAATATTTTACAGAAGCTGCTGTGAACTGCCCCTTATTTATTGGACCGGATAGTAAGGCAGCATATAAAGAAGCTATGTTAGGAGTACTGAAAAGTGCAAAACAAAGGTGTCGTAACAAATTAAAAAAAATTCCTAACCACGACCTTGAAAAAAGAGTAGAAAAAGCAATAGAGAATACAATAAGTGCTTTATTAGAACCAGAAGCAAGCAATGATGGTTCAGAAGCAGATGTGGAAGATGAAGATGAAGAAATGGATTCATTCGATTATGAAGAAGACGAGAATTTTTGATTAATCATTGGAACTTTTTTAATATTAATGTTGTCAAATTCGTGATTTAAATATTTGTTTGTTATATAAAATATCAAGAAAATTATTCATTTTCGTTTATGGGCATATCTCTGGAACCTTTAACTTTCATGTCCCTCGCATATATTTCGATAATTTCAATAACTTTTTACTTTATTTTTGTTGGAAATATTAAAGCTTGATAAGATGAATCAGTTCCAAAAGGTTTTACATTAATTTATTAAATATATCAATAATTATTCCAATCTGAGTGCCCGATTTTTTACAATATCTACTTGTCCCTAACCATACTCTCGGATGGGTTAAACGATAAAACTTTGTAATGAATAAGAGTTACTAATTCTAAGACGCATCTTTTTAAAGTTAATTAAACAGTGAACACTTTTCCGTATGAAAATTAAAAATTTGTTAATTTTGAAAAAAGTTATAAGCTTTCAAACGTTGTCCCTCACTTTTAACCTTTTTGATCGTAATCGAGATATTTATCATTTTTCATTAATAAGACAAATGGCACATCAAAATGACTTACGGGAAATAAAAGTTCAAATTATTAGAATTATTTTGAGACATAGTAAATTGATGTGCCTCGTGTCTTCAAAAAACTGTTGTAATTTAAATAACAGAAAACACGCGCGTACAAAATTTGAAAACGACCGTAATTCGAGTGATACTCCACGAAAATCAAATAAAAGTATTTTAAAAGTACTTGTAAATATTTTCGCATGTGCCATTTAACATCCCGTGAATGTGCTTCAAGAAAAAATACTTTATTGCAAAGATAATGTAAAAATATTTGTCAATTACGGTCGACCGTAATCAACCAAAAGTTTTTAGAAAAGAAATTGTTAAGTATGAAGTTGTCGATTCTCACTTTTTTATAGAAACTGTTAATAAATAAAACTGAAGGTTAAGTTTCAATGTTTATATTTTGATTTTTTAGACAGAATAAATGATCGAAAAAAATAAGATATATAAGAAAAAAGAAAAATAGAAAAAAATGAATAGAAATTGGAAAGTTTATGAGTGTTAAATTTAAATAAAATGTATCTGGAAATTGCAAGGTAAACTTTATACATTATAATTTCATATTTTTACAATTCAGTTTAATTAAAATCTATTTTTAAAATAAAAACAATTTTAATTTTTTAGTAATTCAAACAAAAAATAAAAGAAAAGTAATGTTAATGACTAGTAATAATATAATAAATACAAAAGTAATATATTATATAATAATACAATTATTATATTATAAATTATAACCCCTCAGTTAATTACTTTCAACTGTTTTCGATTCTAAAAAACAAACACCTGTTAAATATTTTTTTGTTGCACGTTAAAAATAATTCGCAATTTTAAATAGTTTATAACTTTTTGAAGACGAATCATTTTATCTGTCCACTTGGATATTTTGAAAGCTTATTTCTTAAAGTTTATGTAGACAGAGTTTCAATACTGTGCTCAATAAAAAATTAACAAATTTTTTCTCATTGAAAAGTTAAAGGTTCTAGAGATATGCCCTTATAATGTTGCTTCGCTTCTTTTGTATTTTATTTTAGTAATATATAGAAACCATTACTAATAAATTATCTTTTTATACTTTGTAAATATTATTCTTCTTATTTCACTAATTATAAACTTTAAATTCTAGTTATTTTAATACCCCACAATAATATTCGGCATTTTTATCCTGCATTTTGCCGGCACGTGTGTATCGGACACACGGTCCGGCATTATAGCCAGCAATAGCACGCACATTGAGCTGCTTTCTAGCTGGCACAATGGTCCGATCAATCGGCCCACGGTCCACAACATAGCCAGCCTATATGCAGGCATTTTGTTATCTGGGGTGGTTAAATAGTTCACTGCAAAAAGATGTGTCTAAGACACTAAAAACGTCTCAAAATAAGACACCTCTTTTTGCAGTGTATTGGGCCAACTATGGTCGGCATGACTTTGGCAACCATAGTCGGCTCAAGCTTGGCTACTAAAGGTATGCGGACCGTTTGCTTTAATGTATAAAGATAAATAAAATATATTTGCTGAATAATTAAAAGAATCTTTAGTATTATTTTGATTACTCGAAACAAACAGAATTCCCTGAAGATGACGTTAACTTGACTCCTGGACACCCGGATGTACTGTAGGGTTAGTCTGAGTCAATGACTATTCAGTAGAAACCAAAATTCCCTGAGGATGATTTTCACTTGACTCCTGGACACCCGGGTGCATTTTAGGGTTAGTCTATAGTTATGATTATTCTGAAGAAACAAAAATTTCCTGAAAATGGTGTTAACCTGACTCCTGGACATCCGAGTGTTCTTTAGTGTTATTTTAGCAGCATGATGACTCGAAGCAAACAGAATTCCCTGAAGATGACATTTACCTGATTCCTGGACAGCCGGGTGCACTTTAGAGTTAGTCTATAGCTATGATTATTTTGATGGGAACCTAAATTCCCTGAAACTGTTGCAAGTACTCGAAAATTACAGGTACTCGAATTATTCGAGTACCCGAAATTTTTGAGTAGTCGAGTGGATTCGGGTATCCCAAAAATTCGAGTACTCGGTACATCCAGCCGAGCTCGGATTCGGCTCGGCAAACGCGTTTTGCGCAGACGCGAATATATGCGCGCGGAAAATAAACTTATGCCTCCCGGTGTACCCAACCTCAATGTATCAAAAAAGTATAATTGCTTACCTATTCTTATGATGTCTGGAAGCGCATATGCAAAAGTAAAAATGGACAGGAAAATCCAACATGTTTCCATTTCTTGTTAACAGCCAAATTTTAAATTCACTGACTCTGTCAATCTTAAAAGGAATGAAAAATTAATATTCCAAAACCCAGCAGTATTTCGCAGAAATTTTAAAATTCCTTTATGTTAACCAGAAAATTGAAATTATTCTTTAAAGATGCTACTGCAATCGTGAACCATAAAATTAACAAAAGGAGCAAGTACACTAGGGCTGCTCACGAGACGAGACTTAGTCTCGTTAAAGTCTCGAGGAATTTTGTAATGAAGAAAATAACTCATATTTGAAAAAGAACTTATTTAATAAACATAAAAAATAAAATACATGTTACTATTAACAAAGTAAGGATCAAATAATTTGCAATACTGCTTCTAAGTCAAATGAAGCCCAAGAATTTAATCATAGAGTATAGGCCTGTGCGGTTATTGAATTCTGTAACCGGTTTACAGGTTACAGATAAATAACCGGTTTTACGATTATTTTGAAATTATAGGGTAACCGCTTATTCGAACATTTTGAATTAACAGAATATCCCAATAACACGAAATAACTGATAATTTATTTTTAGAAAAATAACTGATGAACAGATTACACAAGCAAATAGCTAAAAATTGATGTCTATTTTAATCTCGCAAAAAACCGCAATACACGAATTTCACGCTTTGGAAAGAGAGTTCTGTTTTTAATTAATTTATATATTCATTATGAAATTTTTATTTTAGTTTATTTTAGTTATTCTAAAATAACTGATTATCCTAAAATAACCGATTATTCAAAAATAACCGATTTTTCTAAAATAACCGGTTATTTTAAAATAACTTCCAAGCTTGCGTGGCTATGCGGTATGCGTATTCGGTTTGCGTCCGAGTGGTCTAGGGTTCGATCCCCGTGCATGCGATATTTTTCAATCTTAATTCATAGTTTCTATGTTCATAGTACTAATAATATTAAATAAAAATGTAACTTTAAATAGTTAATAATAATAAAAATCATAAAAAATTAATTAATAATTAATATTAATATAAGTATAACTTGCTCTGTTAAAAATTATACTAGAAAATATTAAAAACCTTTTTTTTAATTTCGTTCAACAAAAGTAATTTTAATTATTTACATCATTGTTAATATTAATAATAATAATATTTATTTATTATTATTAATGATAATATTTATTAATATTTAATAATTTACTTCTATTATTTTAATTTTCCCATATTGTTATATTGCTATTCGGGATATTCCATTATGGACAAACAAGCAGGAAAAGGCGAAAACGTTTTAAGCTACTACTGCTTTTCAATGCAATAGTACAAATATTTATTACTGGATCAGTAGTGGCTGCCAGTACTTTACTAACTCTGGCAATCAGTACTGGCAAAATGTTATCATCCCAAAGTTACGCCATCTCTGGCGCCAATACTGGGGACCAGTACTGCGCCAGTAGTGGTCGGTACAGCACCAGTACTACGCCAGTAGTCGATTTCTGATTGGGTATAAAATTAACAATGCATAACCCATTTTTTAGAAATTGATATAAAATTACTTCAAAGTTAGTGAAAACTTAACAGTTATTAATCTTGAAAGTTAAGTTTTGCTGTTGTGAAAATAAATATTACCATTATTAATATAATTATTTTGAATAATTATGTCTGTATTGAATAATGTTTTTTATGAAATTTATACATAATTTTTATATTAATCACATATCAGCTTTAGCATCTTTCAAGAATTTGTTTTCATTTAATTGAAGAACATAAATAGTAGTATATTATAACGTACATTCACAAAGATTAAAAGCAATCTTAAGTAAAAAATTCTTATCATTGCGTAAAACTTTATTCTAATTAATTTTTTAGAAAGACATTTATATTTTCAATACTTTATTGTAATACATTAAGATGCTTGGTTTTTAATGATTTAAAACTATTATCAAATTTAGACAATTTTTCCCATGATTTGTTTTTAATTATTGTATTTAAGTAAAAACTCAATAAAATATTAATATAATATTATTACCTTCTTGAACTTCTATGACGTCTTAATTTCGTGGAATATAATTGTATTTTCATAAAAATTCTGGTAGTATACTCTTTTAAAATACAAGTTCATTTAAAAGTATAAAGTAGATTTTTAATTTTACACGTGACTTTGATATATAGTAAAAATTTCAATACATTCGAATAATATAAAGCCTGCATTTATTATTATTATGTAAATTATTTCATTCAAATAAGTTTAATTTAAATTCTTAAAAATTCCAGACTTTTATTTTATTAATGGCAAAAGGCATCACTTCTATCTATCTCCTGTCTACTCTGTTTCTCCATAGCCTACATATATTGATCCTTTGAAACCCAGCCTGAGTTCCATAATATGCGGTCCATGGTACTCAGAAATATTTACATGTATTGTGATATAGAATTTATAGTACAGTTGTATTTTAAAAGTTTCATTTTAAAACAGTTTCACTTTACCACTAAAAAGTTAAAAAAATGTGTCCCAAAATTGGAATTACTTTTATGCGCAATGAGATTCAGTGTATACTGAAGGTGCGCAACAAAATTTAGAGAAAGTGCGCATGTTTCAAACTTCATAAAAAAAATTTGATTTCATTTTTTTTATTAAAAATTCACGATAAGTTTTTTAGATCTTGCTTTCAAAATTTATTATTAATTTTGCTTTGCACACATGCCATAAGTAAAAAATGAAAACTATTTTTAACTAATCGAAATGATATTATTTAAACTTTTTCCCCTTTTTAAAAAATGTTCTAGTAGACTTCTCCGTTAACAGACTGAATGATGTCGCTCATAACATGGAGAATTTACTGAAAAGTTATTAAATGTTTAAGGGCAATCTTTGAAGAATTCAGTTGCAAAACTGAGCAAATATAGGATCATTCCTATATTTTTCACAAATATTTTCGCCACCTTTATCAAAAATTTATTTTAAATGTTCAGTTCTGTTACGTATGAAGTAGGTACGCAACTATTTTAATTTTTTTTTTAATATATTAAAAATGTTTATTATTACCTATATATAGAATCGAACGAAGATCTAGAATTTTGTAATTAGATGTAAGAACAATAGGGGATTAAAAGCAACATAGAAAGACAATTCACCAAAGACATGACAAATTAACTATGTATTCAGACTTTCTTTAAATAATGACCTTTGTTCAATTTTTGGTTTTCCAATAGCAACTATTATTATAATATTTTTCATGGAATTGTTGAGAAAGTCTTGGTCAACGCCCAGGTTTCAAAACGAAATTTCTGAATTTCGAAAGAGTTATTTTTTTATTAAAAGACTCTAAATGTATTGTTTTAATTACCAAGAAAACAACACGTACATATAAACTTATTAGTGAAGGAAGATCATTGAACTTGTATCACACCACCTAAGGAATTGCAAGCTTGCGAAAAGCTTGTTTGGCAATGGCGAGGTTCAATGAGCTGTGTGCAACAGCTCTCCCCACTATTAAGATTTTAGCGAAATTTCAGGGTGTGATCCATAATTGTATGTATTCTTTGGTTACTCTGAGTAAGAGTTGTTTATAATAATATTGGAAAAAGTTGACTGAAACAGAACAAAATAAGGAAGCAGAATTTCATATAATCATAAAGTAATTTCCCATTATTATTGGGGATAATTAAATGATTGAAATGTCAATTTTTCTAAATATATAGAATATTTTACAATAATAGCAATTGTAAGTTTAATAAATACTGTTATATTACTTGAGCAAATTGGGAATTATAATATACATTATATTATTCTATTAATATAATTATTCTGATAGTGTTTTATTGAATGTGTTTCCTTTACTATTCTAAAGTAAATACTGTCTATTCGGAATCACTGAATTAATAGTGATATTTTGGAAAGAATCAATTTTAAATAAACGAAAATTTTTACTTAGGCTTCGTCCATAAATTACGTCACACTTTTTAGGGGGGAGGGGGTCCATGAAAATGTGACAAAGGAGGGGGGACCTTTTATTTTGTTATGTCACACTTTATACTCTATTTATTATAATGAGAAAATTGTAATAAATAAAAAAATAAAATATATTTCTTGTTTTTAAAATATTAAAAAATGTACCAATTATATAAGTAACTTTATTGGGTGTACTTCCGAATAAGGGGGACCTGCGATTTTAATAAAACTTGGTATACCAACGTATTTTGATGCGCTGATTACGAAAATGATAATGAAAATTGGCGCAAATTTGATGTTCATGTTGAAAATCATAAAAAACCATAAAATTGTGGTTTTTTGCGTATAATTCGTAAAAAACGAAGGATATACTTCCGAAAAGCAAAAGCGCATACCTCCGATATTAATGAAAGTTGGTATACTTACGTAATTTTGTGCCCTGATCACGAAAATCATAGTGAAAATTGTCGACTAGGTCATCTTCATAGTAAAAACCATAAAAAAAACATCATAAAATTGTGGTTTTTTACGTTTCACTCGTTGGATTGGATTAATCATAATTTTTTGTGTTTAAAAATATTTGTAAATTTTTCTCTGCTTTTATATTCTGAAAAATCCAAGCCTCCTTCCTTCTCGAAATAAAAGCAGAAAAAAAATTTACAAATATTTTTAAACACAAAAGTTATGGAGGAGGAAGGAGTCATCCACCTTGGGTTTTTCAGAATTAAATAGAAAACAAAAAATATCACAATTATCTCTCCAATCAATTAAATTTTGATAAAAAAAAAAATTTCAACCCAAGGTGAATGACTCCTTCCGCCTCCATATAAAAGCAGAGAAAAATTTACAAATATTTTTAAACACAAAAAATTATGATTAATCCAATCCAACGAATTATACGCAAAAACTAGAATTTTATGGTTTTTTTATGGTTTTCACCATGAACATCAACTTAGCGCCAATTTTCATTATCATTTTCGTAATCAGCGCATCAAAATACGTTGGTATACCATTTTTCATTGAAATCGGAGGTTCCCCTTATTCGGAAGTAATCCACTTTATTTATATAAAATTAGATATTGACAGTGATTCATTTTGAAAAAATTTATTAAAGGGGGGTTTACGAATTGTGACGTAATTTAGAGGGAGAGGTTTCCTTCAGATGTTAAGTAGCGTGACAAAGGGGGGGGGGGGTCAAAAATGGGCTGAAAACGTGTGACGTAATTTATGGACGAAGCCTATAATAGAAACTGAGTCGAACTTTTAAATGTTAAAAATTCTATTATATCGAATATTCATTTCTCCTATTTGCATGAATGACGATTTAGTAGAACTCTCCCAAGTCGAAAAATTTCATGGAAGTACCCCCCTGGAAATTCCGTGGAACTTCTCCACGAAATTTCCATGAAGATTCCATGGAAATTCTGCAAATTTTTAATTTTAATATTACCTTAACCCTTTCACACCCAGGCAAAACTGTACGGTTAAAAAAACATAAATGTAACGATTTTCATAGTTTTGGGGTGGCTGATTACGAATTTAAAGTCAGATTTTCAAAATTCAAAATGGCGGATTCAAGATGCCTGAAGACAAATGTAAAAAATAATCGGATTAACATGAAAATTGTTACTCGGGGGTTTTCGGGGTCGCTGATTACGAATATGACATCAGTTTTTAAAAATTCAAAATGGCGGATCCAATATGGCGGATGACTTTTTACAAAATTAATCCAATTGACCTTAATGTTGGTTATCTCGGATAAACCCCGGTCACTGATTATTCAGATTATTCAGATTTGCTTGATACTTACTTTCAAGAGTTAATGCTTTTTAAAAATCTAAGATCAATTGGATAATTGTAAAAACTGAGTTGCTAAATAATTAGAAATTTTTGTTGTAAAATTAGCAGGAGTTTTATAATAAACATATTCCAGTTTATTGATTTTAAAATTTTCTCCTCTCATTATTAATCCACAATCGAAATTTAAAAATAGACTAAAGATTGGTAATCAGTGACTACAACAACCTCCGAGTAACAAGTTTCGTGACAACCTAATACATTTTTACATTTGTCATCTGTCATATTGGATCCGCCATTTTGAATTTTTAAAACCTGATGTCATATTTGTAATCAGCGACCCCAAAAAGTAACAACAACAAAAAAGAAAAAAAGTAAAAATTTAAAAAAAAAAAAAAAAAAGTAAAAAAAAAGTAACAATTTTTAGTCGATTTTAAAATTTTAAAATGTTTAAAAATAATTGGGATTTTATATATTTAAACAAAGCAAAATTGATTGCACATTTTGTTTTGTTTTGTTGATAGTTCCTGGTTACAAATACAATGTTAAAGTAACGTAACCAAGAAACTTTATTAACTTTTTTTAAAACTTACAATCATTTGCAATTTTGCATTACATTCAAAATTTTTTCTCTTTAAGCGTAGTTACTAATAACATTTTTACCAAAAACATTTTACATAATTTTAAAGTTAAAAACAGAGTCAAAGTTAAAATTATAAAAATTACAAAAATAACTGTAAGTGTGCCATAGTATTCTAACCAAGTTATATTTCTTCCTCTATAACAGAAATAAGGAGCTTTTGGAAATTTCATCAAGTGTTCTATATTCCACACTGTCTTTTCTATTGGTTTAATCAACTCATCTTTAATCATAGCAGACATCTTCTTAATGTTGGTTACATATCTGAAAATAAATTATTATATTGAAATCTATTTTACTTTTAATCATAAGTAATTACCTAAGCTGTAAAAATTTAAGTTCTATGTTCTAAATAAATTTAGTTGTAAAAAAGTTTCTAAAAGTTGAGACATTTTTTCATTTTTTCTTTAATAAGTGTAGAGAATTGGTTAAAAAATATATTTTTTAAATGTTTCAATATTTAAAAAATAATTTTTTTTCCTTATTAAATAAGCAAGCGGTAAGCTAATTTCCTAATTTTTTCGTTTAACGTCTGATAATTTATACAAAATTTTATACGACCGTTGGTCTTTGGGATTACAACTGAGGCCTCGGACCGAATCCCCCCCCCCCCCCCCCCGTTCCCGATTGTCCACGTGGCCATTTTTTGATGGTTCTAAAAACTTATAACTACAAAGGTTTTTATAAGGTAAGTGCACTAATTTCTGCGGCATTGCTGCCAAGATATCTTTTACGTAGAAAAAAATATATCAGGAGTATCTTTAATTATTATAGGGGAACATAGTCTAGGTCGGCCACCTTTTTGACTTTTGTTTATAACTTTTTTTTAAAAATGAATTTGGACAATTGAAGTATATGGTTGGAAAGTCCTGTTTAATAGGAACATTTTTTCTTTACAAAGTAAATTGACAGGTTTAAAAATGAAAAAGTTATAAAGATTTAAAAAAAAAAAATTTGTAGTCCAGGTTGGCCATTACAGTCAAGGTCGGCCATGTTTAAAATTCAAAGGGCATTAATCTTTAAAAAATAAAATATCATGTTTGGAGTTACGGAAAATTGATTCTTTATTGTTTACAGCTTGTAACTTAATGAAATAACAAAATAATAACAATAAACAATATAAAAAAATAAATATATAAATAAAAAAAAAATTTTGCACTAAAATATTAATAAAATTAAATAAAAATATTAATAAGACGATCAATTATATTATGAGTTATACAGAATTTCAGTTTTTGCAAATGAAGTAGCTCGTCCTCATCTTTGCGCATTTTAAACACATAGTGGCCGACCTTGACAGTAAGTAACATTACCGAATTGTTGTAACCATAAAGAAATACGTTTCGGAATTCGATTTTTTACTTTGTTTTCCTTTCAACCATGAGTCCCACAAATTTTCTGCATACTTGCCTTGACGATTCAATTTGTTTTTTATCTTTTATTAATGGTTTTTCACATTATGCACAAAACTTTTTTTGAGCTTTTTTTGTACCGACGTCACAGAAAACACAATTTTCGATCCTCCGAAAATGTAATTGAACAAAAAGTTAGGTTTCACTAAGACAAGCTTCGACAAGCATGCGCGTAGGTGGCGCTAGTGAACTTGTCCAAAAAATCGCGATGGCCTACCTAGACAGTAGACCAACCTTGACTACATTCCCCTACTACTGGAAATACTTAATCTCTTTGGTAACAAATCTTAAAATTTCTATAATTCAATAGTTTTAAGCATTCAAATAAACAAAAAGAGAAATTATTTAGAGAGGTTGTTTTCTGTTATAATACATTGACGCGAAATTTGAATGTTGGATAAAAAGAAAAGAGATTAAATTAAATTTTTCTTGTGTTCCCTCGAGGACAATCCTGGACTTTTGACGAATCCCCCCCTAAACTGTCCACTTGGTATATAGACGACCCCTAAGTCTTCACGATAATGTATATTCGTATTTAGTTCCGTTCAGTGTCCATGTTTGTTCAAATGAGTTGACATAAATTTTAAATCGCACACCCTTTCCCCACAACGAATCTTCTCCCAATTAATTAATTTAAAATACTTCACTCTCCGAAATGCTAAGCTACTCAAAAACGACGTTTTAACTATACATACTATATGTGTGTTTTTGGCAAATGCTTGGATAATGCTCCAGATTACTTCAATGGTATTCAATTTAATTATTAAATATGGTTTCTAATATTATTTAAGTAATATGTTGTAATTGGCTACTTCGGTATGCTCTTAATTTTGTTTTATTAAACAATTGTGAATTTTGTGTCAATGTGTGAAATTTCTCATAGGTTCTAGAAAATTTTGTTAAAATCTAGCCTACAATATGGAAATTATTTTTAATTTCCCAGAAAATTGAGATAAACCAGACTGTAATCTGCATTTGAGGTCTTATATATAAAACTACATTTACATGTCACCAACTTAGTCTTATTGTTAATTCAGATAATTGAATACAATAGCAGTACTTTAAATTGAAGATTTTTTCGATATTATAAATCTGCTAGTCAATTTCAAATTATATTTATTACAATATAATTATTATATTAAAATTTATTCATCACTAGGCGTTAAATAAACGGTTTGTGATTGATAAAAACTTAACACTGTAACTTACTGTGGGTTTTGCAGAACTTCTTCCACAATCTGAATAATATATTTGCTAGACAAATTATCTATATCCAAAGAGAGACCGATTTTAGAATCCAAAATTTTACGTGTATTAAACTTCTGATCGCCAAAGAATGGTATTGATATTACCGGAATACCGTAATATACCGCTTCTTGCAAAGACTGAAGCCCACCTTGCATCATAAACATTTTGATATTCTTATGAGCTGTAATAGAGAGGTTTCAATGTAAATGTCCGAATAAAAATTTATTTTTTACTTTGTACATTGAAAAATATTCATTTAATATTTTCAATGTAAGGTTTTATACAGTTTTGTGATATTAAATGCTGACAAGATCATACCCAAAACAGCTTGCTGTGGTACCCATTTTACAAATTTGATATTTTTTAATTCAGTAGTTTTACTTCCTCTATGCTTCCATAAAATCTTTTGCTTTAATGTTCCAAACGCGGAATAAAGTTCAGTTAATGTGGAGTTTGACAACTGATCTGATTGTAAATTTGATCCTAAAGAGAAATAAATGACTCCCTGAGGAGCATTATCTAGAAATTCTTGAATGTCCTGCAATACATTTTTTAATAAAAAATTATTAAAGGAATTCTTCATATTTATTAGGAAGTACTAAACAAGATTACAAAGATATTTATTTATTATTAAAATTATGATATTTTTAATTTGTTTATATTTTCTAAGCACTTCTCAAAATTTTTAATTTAAAAATAATTCTAAAACTCCCCAAGTGTGAAATTAAAAACGGCCCAATAATGACCAAGTATTGGCAAAGCTGGTGCCGAATCTTGGCAAACAGTACTCAACCGTCTCTTGGGAGGTTAACCGCGGTTGGTCGTCAGCCGAGGTCGGCAGCCAGATCTCGGCAGACATTAAGGGGGAGTGACACCTTTAAGGTGCCTTTTGAACCTGTTGTTCATGGATTTTTTTAAGACACAGGAATAAAGAAAATAAAATTTGGTTTCGAAGACTTTATTTGTTAACTTTTTAAGTTTACTAAAATATATTTATACTTAAAAAAAGTTTCAATTTGTTGCCTACAGAGGAAGCCGAAGTTGGTCTCGTTTCTCTGCAGGGCAAATCGGTGGGCACAAAAATTTTGGTTAGACCGTTTAATCTAATACAAAAATTAAAAGTTTTTCTGCAACTGTGATAGATTTAGCTTTCGAGTACGTAGGATATTTTAAAAATATTAATTTTTGTGTATATATGGCAGTTGTTTGAAGCAAAAAGTCGATTTTTAGGGCGAAATTTTTTCAAAATATCTATTGTCAAAAATAAAAAGCAAAAAAAAATCCGCTACGTACTCAAAAGCATTAGTAAATGATAAACAAACAAACAAAATCTCATATAAGAGACTTTCTACAGTAATATTTCCTTCATTTCGATTCTTTAGAGCAATTTCAAGCTGTCTTCAGTATTCTTGAGCTGCTGCGATAAAAGAAAAAGTATCCAATGGCGCTAAAAAGCACTCGAAGCACTCTTGGACACCTTTTACAGATTTCGATTTTTTTCACATAAAATAACTTCGAAATTACTTCTCATGATATAATTTCTATTCTACACCTCATAAAGTATCGTTTAAGCAAACAAAATAAAATCAATTTTTTTCGGGTCAAAGGTGTCACTTCCCAATACTGGCTGCCATTACTCCCTCAGTATTGGCAAAATTAAAAAAATATTCAAAATAATTTTATTTTTTAATAAAATTCTTACCGCTCGCGGGGATTGACACCTGAACCTGACGCACAAGATATAAAATTTTTGCCATTAGTGTGTCATTACTGAGCCGAGCTACGTTCTAATATTGGTAATTATAATTTGCCAACAAAGATACAAAATTTTTGCCATTAAATTGCCAATAATGTTCCATTACTGGACCGAGCTACTTCCTAATATTGGCTATTATAATTTGACATCATAGATAAAAAGTTTTAGCCATTAATGTGCCGTTATTGGACCGAGCTACGTCTCATTACTGGCAATTGAATTTTGCCATTAAAGATTGATCAACTTAGCCGTGTACGTACCATTATTGGGTCGAGAGCTGTCCCAGTCTTAGAAAATTAGAATATCTGACAATCGGCGCCATCATTGGCCCAGCAATGGGACATTTTAAACACCAGAAATGGCCCAGTAACTATTGACAATTCTCGGCAGACATTACTGGACCAATGATGGGCCGTTTTTGCAGTCTTGGCATTTCGCACTTAAGTCTTGTTCTACTGTCCTTCTGGTATACACACGTTTTTGAAAACCGTGGAATTTCTATCAAAATCTTAATAGTTTGAGGTAAATTCTTTGTATCATGTTAGTCATGATCAAATTAGATTGAGATAGAAGAACATAGCTTCCATGACAGCACTTAAATAAGTGAGAGGTCGAGAGTAAAAATATTTCATAAAAACTACAGGAGCAAAATAGAAAAACGTGACTTAATTTATCAATAAATTACGCAATCATTTTAACCCGTTTTTCTCCCAAATCCCTTGTTCTACTTTTGTCCCTGTTATTATTTTAAACTATTTTTACTATCAGACCCTCAATTTTAATACTCTTTTTGTTATTTCGTAAAATTAGGTAAAAAATACTATATTTTCTTATAAAAAGTATGTAAGATTCCAAGTGAATTGAATCCCATCCAAAAGTTAAGCATTGTCAAGAACAATTTCACGTACTTTTTTTAATGTATAAAAACTCTAATTTCCATAAAACGAAAGACTGTATATATAAATATTCCACTGTTTACAATTTTATTATTACTGCAATAAAACCTTTTTCCATGTATTTCTGGCCTAAATTTCAGCTTCTTTTTTCCAAAATTACACTCGTAAGGTTAAAAACTTAAAACTGCAAATTAATATAAATATTGAAAATATCTACCTGTGGTAAATGATCCAGATTGTCATTTATGTGCAGACCTTGAACTTCAACAACATTAGGTAGCAATGGCTTGGGATAGCCAAATATATGATTATTTCCTAGGATTACTAAACTGAAATTTCTTTCAATTTCAAAAACAGACGTACCAGGGGCAATTTTGTTTGCAATTATCTGAGCGTGTGGTAAATGAATAAATTTGAAATACAGTCTAGTCCATGTTGTATAAAACACATTCCATAAACGTTCATTCAAAGTCATTTTATCATTAAATGCGTACGCCATATCGACATTAAGTAAAGGATCATCTGGATTACCTAAATTTAAATATTAAAGAAATTCAAATCATTTTTTGCTATGATTTTTAGGTGACTTATCAATTTAATTTTTTTATGTTGAAAGTTTTATCTTTGTGATCAGTTTATGAAAACATTTTGCTTTCTCATACATGCACGGAGAAAATTTTTTTCTGATATATTTTACCGAATTTTTCAATAAAATTGGGATATAATGGCATAATCGTAATTTTTAATAATTTTTAAATTATTTTTTCAGTAATAATGTTTAAAATTTACTGTAAAAGTTCAAAAAAATTTAAACTAAACGTTTAATATAAATTAAATAAAATTTTAACGTTTATTTTTAATATCTCCTTGATGGGCACTAACGGTTCAGCACAGTTAAAAGAAAGTCTTATTTTCAGACACGAAAGGTACCTTAATTTAAGAGATGCAACATTTTTAAGACAGCCTTCACTTAATTTCAAATCATATTTTTTTGCTGAATTTAAAGATCCAAGCAAGCTGGTTATCAGCACTGAATGTGCTGAATTTAAGGGAATCATATCCCTGGTTAAAAAACTGGACAGATTTCGGACTAATCCGCAATTTGTCCGAAACAGTGCGGTTTATGGTCAGGTTTTTGTCACCCGAAATTAATCCGAATAAATCCGAACTCTATGCGTTTTGTGAATAACTAGTGAATCCGGAATTAGTTTGATGAAGCCCGAAATTGATCTGTTAATTTTAACTACACTGTAAAAAATTTCGGAATTTTTTCCGATAAAAAACTAGGATATTTTTCCGAAATTAGGTGGAAATTACGGTTTTCCGAATATTTAGTAGGAAATAAGGGGGGGGGTGATGTTTGAGAAACTGATTTTTATGGGAATTTACTTAATTATATAAATTTATATAAAGAAATTTTTTACTTTTTATTTATATAAATGAAGCTGAATTTTTGCTTCTTCTGAATGTTTTTTCAATTCAGTGACTTAAAAAATATAAGAATTGAATATATAAAAAAAATAAAAATGGCGGATCTAAAATGGTGTATCCAATACGACTTAAGATGAAATTGTTCTCAGATTTTCTTGGTTCTTGGTACTTAGGTGTTTCCTGTAGTCGCTAATTTTAAATCTGAATTTTTCATAATCTAGAAATGGTTTACTGTAAATGATTTACTGAAATTTAATCGCATTTCTGTGATACTACAATCTCAAAAAGTTTTTGACCTATGTAAAATTAGTTTCCGTGTTTATTTATTTTCTTTTTTTCTATTTTTGCAACTAGGACACCTCCCCGTGGTGAAGGCGGGCAACGAATTCTCGGCTAAGTTTCTAGGTTAAAATTATGCCTTTATGGCAAAAGTAAGAAAGAAGTTTACGATGCAGAGGAGGAATACCTCAGTATCGGCGATTTGTAAAAGCCTTGGACAAAAATGGTAAATGTTTTGAGTATTTGGCGAAAAAGTTTCCGAAACTGTCTGACGCTAAAATCGAAGAAGGCGTGTTCGATGGGCCTTAGATACGTAAGTTGTTATATGACGAAAAATTTGTACAAACGATTAAGCTTAAAGAAAAAGCAGCCTGGACAAATTTGAAAGAAGTTTGCTTGGAATTTCTATAGGAAATAAAAAAAGCCACAGATATAGAGAAATTGTAGGAAAAATGGTAGAGAATTTTAAAAAGCTTGGATGTTTGATGACTTGTCAAATTCACTTTTTTGATTCTCATTTAGATGAATTTCCTACAAATCTTAGTGATTTCAGCGAGGAACAAGGCGAGAGATTTCACCAAGATTTAAACGCTAACAAGGAAAATGGAGTAAGAATATGTTAGCGGACTATTGTTTGACGCTAAAAAGAGATATACCAGACACTAAAACTTCAAAGAAGAGAAAAAGAGCTCCTCTCCGGAGATCATATGAAACCAAGAGGTTAAGGTACTCAAGACATAGAAATTAAGAAATCTGATATTTCTTTTGTCCACCATATTGGAACCACCATATTGAATTTTTATAAACTAACATCATATTCGTAATCAGCGACTCCAAAAACCCACGAGTAACAAGTCCCTGCTAAAAATAAAATCAGGAATAAAGAGAAAACGTCAAAAATTTTGATGTTTTGTGACTACTTTGACGTTTCCTGAAGCTTTTGGTTAATTCTGACTAAAGGATTTTTTATGCTCCTGTTGAATCCTGATGTTTATGGATTGCGATTATTGAGCATTGAAATCTTTTTTTTTATTTACAGCCCCTCACCGAAATATAGTCGGTAAATGTAAAGTATCGTTAAAACTTGAAATTTGTGCGTAGCCCTTTTTTCTCAATAGAATCGCGGGTCTATTGTTACGAGTTTCGGGTTTCTAACCTAATTTTTATTGCTCAAAAGTTTTGCATTTTTTAAATTTCAAGTAAAATGAATATAAATTCAAAATCTAGAAATCTCCACAATTACAAATATCTAAAATTTATTATAAAAAACATTTTTTTAAGAAAACTGTAACGTATCTCGAAAACCGTAATTGATCCTTTCTTAAAAAAGACATGGAGTGGAAAGGTCGAATGTATCGAAAAGTATCGAAGTAAAGAATGGGCAATGAGAATGTAAAATCTTAATAGAAGGGTGTTTTTAAAATTGTTTGTACATGTGAAGGTGGCGCTGCAGTTGTATGTTATTTAAAAAGAGCGCGAATATATAAATTTTATTTTTGTTAAGAGAAAGTACTCATAATAAATCTTATTTTGCATTGTCAAAAAACGTCAACATTTCAAATATAAATAAGCAAATTATTAACTGAAAAAATTTGAATATTATTATTATTAATGAAATAATGGACTTGGACAATGGACATATAAAAACTAGCACCATAGACGGCCGCTTGCGGCCGTGGGAGGAGCTAGTAAATAAAAAAAGATATCATTTTTGAATTTAAGTTCTAAAGGATATATTGCATACATAATAAGAGCATATTGTTGGATGAATTTTAAGTCGATGAAAAACAAGTATAATGTTTAAATAAATATGAATATAAACAAATAAAAAGATTTCCCTTCAATTTTATGACGGTCAGTTGACCTTTTTCCAGGTAAAAAAGGGTGTCGACTTTGTATAAAAAACCTGACTACTTTTGAAGCTTTCTGATTAAATATGACTCAAGCCTGAAGTTCTCTGGCTGCAATCGTAACAAATGCAGCCTAAAATCATCAGAGATTCTGACTAAATTTCTGTCGTTTTGTGATTTTATTTTTAGTAGGGGTTTCAAGGAAATCTGAACAATTTTTTTAAATCCACCATTTTAGATCCTCCATTTTGAATCCGCCATTTTTATTTCTTTTATATATTCAATTCTTATGTTATTAAAGTCACTGAATGTTTTTCTCTTTAGACACACCTTAAGGAAGAAAACCTACAACATGGCAGTCCTGGCAATCCAAATTTTTTTTTGTGTGCCGGTGCAATTATAACTTTTATTTTCTGGGCAAATAATATTTCACTTACCCACAGAGTCCATAGCATATGGTAAATTTCCAACACTCGATAAACCAATTAGAAGGGGAAAGTTAAACCGTCTTACTAAGGCATAATAACATTGAAACCATAATTGTTCTATAATTATTGCATCATATGTTGCATCACTGCTTCTATAACATATTATTCTTTATGTTAAAAGTATTAAAAGTCAGGCCACCCTTGAAGATACTACATTTTTACTTACATTAGTTTTTGTACTGGCGTACTCATTATTTGTTCTTCACACAATTTATTTGACTCATCCATGTTCATTTGAAGAATGGAAAACGCATTCATGTGTCTGAAATTTTTAATAAATGATTAAAGTTAAAAGACTGTTAGCTGTTGATAGAATGACTTAGGTTGTAAAAAGCACTGAATTATATGGTAAATAAGTTAAAACTTTTTTAACTTTTTAACAAAGTTTCGTAAATCTTCTCTGCATATATATATAGTTTGTAACAATTATAATCATAAGAGATTGTATGAGTGATGGGGCTCGTGAGAGATCGTGTACTTTCGGTAAAGGGAAGGAGTGTGAGCATTGTAATGATGAGGTTGGTATTTTGGTGAAGTCAAGACTCAATCATGTTTAGACGTTGGCAGTATTTGTTGAAATTCAAAACCACATACATATATAGTAATTTTGATATATACATATACTTTTGATCAATACCGAAATAATCATTTTTAATCATTTTTTAATCATTTTAATCATTTTTAATGATGGGCAAAAGGAAAACAATTGTCTGTAAATATTTTCAACTAGTTTATACGCATAAAAAGACGAAAAACTTAAAGAGTATGTTCGAAGTATATTTTGTGGAAGGAAATGTTTAAAAATCTGACAAGAATGTCTGAACATGTGGAAAAGTGTAAAGCGTGTAACAAAAAAGTAAAAAATTATCAATTAAAAAAACTAAACATCAGAACAATTTTTTGCACGGAAAAAAAAAGTTCGAGAATTATTCGGGAACTTCGTTCTTAACTCTTGGATACGACGGGTAGTTCACAAAGAACTAAAGGTTGCCTCGTTTAAATATGTCATTTACTATTTCTCTACAAATTATAACTATTTCACCACTTCTCGGCAAACTGTTCCTGAAAAAGTCGGGAACTGTTCAAGAAAATCGAAAAGTTAGGCGAATGCAAGAAAAAATGGATTCTGCTTCCCCCCTCCCACTTCCCCTCCTTGACACGTGCGCACACACTCACACACACATTTATCCTTGAAGGTCACATACAATTTTTATTTTTTATTAAGTTTCTGAAATAGAAAAAACCATATTAGAGAAAAATCGACAGCGGCTGGAACAGAACTCGCGTACCCGAGAATAGAAGTCCGGCGTCTTAACCAGCTGAGCTAAACAGGCGAGTTAAATACCCCAGCATAAAATAAATATATAAGGCACGCAAGTCTTACTGACTGTGAGACTTGGGGTGTTTTCGACGTCGTCGGTCGTACCGGTCAGTTGCCACAAAAAGGTGCTTATTTGAGACTATTTAGGTTAAACTAAATAGTCTCAAATAAACAGTTTGAGCACCTTTATGTGGCAACTGACCGGTACGACCGACGACGTCGAAAACACCCTTGTTGAGACTGGTGCGCACTGGGTTTCTGCGCACCAAGATTCCTTGACGAGTTCCCGAAAATTTCAGAAACAGTTGCGGCCAGTGCCATGAACTTTACATGACAAAGTAATGAAAAAGAGACTAATGGACTATTTATAGCTTTTTCTAATACAGTTCCCGAATTTCTTTCTAACATTCATTGATTACCATTGAATGTTCGTCGCTAGTTCAGAGCTGTTACCACGTATCCAAGAGTTAGGAAATAATTCCTGAAATATCTGGCAACTTTTTTTTTCCGTGTGGATAATAAAACAAATAAAATAACTATAAAGGTTTCTGTCGAGGTTCCTGGTAAGAATTCAATAGAAGGCTTGTCAAATAGTTTAGAAGATGCCATTCTCAATGATTCTCGAAAAGAATTAAAAGTTTTTACCAAAAAGTCTATAGATAGTCTTTTATTGATATTATAAAGAAAAGAAATAATATAGAGGTAATAATCAGTAATACCCTGTAATAGTTCTGTAATAACCTATAATACTAGATAATACGCGTAGTAGCAGGAAAATTTTGTGTATTAGAGTGTACACTATTTTAACCAGTAATTACCCCCTCGGTGATTTCTATAAGGTTTTATAGAAATATTTCAATTTTAAATGTTTTTCCTTAATACCTCGGTCGAAAGTGCGTACTTCCCTCTTAGATTTCGCAGCAGAAAGTCAAACATTTACGCTTTGGTTGATATACACACACGCCCTCTATTACAGCGGGAGTAAAAGAATTCTTTGTCGGTAAAGATACCAATTTATTTTTTTATACGTGCCACAATATTATAATAAAATTTTAATAATTTAAAGAAATAACGACATTTTGTTTATTAGAACGTTTAGAATTTCCGAAATATAAAATTAATTTTGTACGAACAGAGCTTCACGAGCATCCGCTAGAGGCGTTGAAGCGGGGAGCGAAAGTAAATAAAGACGGCCGGCTGTCAAATTCATGGAGAATAGACTACAGGAGACCAAACTGCTATGCTCGTACTTTCTTCTTCTTAAATGACTTTAGGCTTTGCCAACTGTCAGAACAAACACTTAGAAGAATAAGAGTTAAGAATTAAAAGTTTCCATGTAATTGGTTAATGTGTACAAAAAAAATGGCGTCAAACGCCATTTTAGTGCTTGAGAACTATACTTGGGAACGGTCAAAACCGAACTCCCCATGCTCGTACTTTAATATAGCCGATCACTTTTGCGTCGGAAGTTAATCTTAGTTCAAAAGTTTCCGTCTGTGTCGCATGAATCGGTGGTGTGTGGGGAGTTTGTCTCTGTCACACGTTTCCCTATGTTTCTCTCTCACTTTACTCATGCGTCGTAGTGTAAAAGAATCTAGAGAGATTCAGATTGTCTTTGGACTTGTAAATGTAAAGGTGCCGTCCCATGTCGGCGTAAAAACGTCAAAGCGTTGAAGCGTCGGCGTTAAAGTATGAGAGTGAACGAGATAGAGATATAAGGTTGTTTCTTTCACTCTCATGCATTTACGGTTTGACGCCGACGCTTTGACGTTTTTACGCCGACATGGGACGGCACCTTTAGGTCGTGTTTATTGTAGTGTCTGTACAATACGTAAATGACTAATCAATGTAATTTTGTAATAAATAATCACATAGGAAAAGTATATTAATATTGGAGTTATTATGATTTATAATAATATCTATTTAGTGGGGAAATATATAATTTGATATATATATATATATATATCTATAATTATCCCACAGGTGTAAGTTGTGACACAAAATTCAAATTTTTGTTTTTAAATTTTGTTAACAATTGAATAATAAATTTTTAAAATGTAGAAGAATAATAAATATTACTTTTATTTTACAAATAAAAGTAAAATGTATAGAATATATTCAAAAAAACAAAGTGCTTAGAGGTTAAGTTTGGTTAGTTTATTCACAACTTACACGACCGATACATACACTACAGGCGAGAAATTGGTGAACTACAATTAACTTCAGACGCAAAAGTGTTCGATTTCAAATACATTAGATTGGTCTCCTGTAGTCTATTCTCCATGGTCAAATTAATCACGATTGCAATTTTCTTAAAAAATAGATTAACGGGCGTACTTTTGACCGTATATAAAGAAAAATAGTATACATCACACGGGCAGAAATTTCGAGGTCCTTCACAGTGCGATGATGCACTATTTATTTATATAAATATATTTTTGAATAAATCGTTGAAATAAATTTTAACGGACAAAAGAGAGAATTACAGGGTGTCTAGTATTGTCGGCAAATAAAATTCCAGGACTTTTCCAGGTTTTCCAGGTTAAAAATATTTTTTTTCCAGGTACTATTTTGAAAAATTTTAATGTCAAAAATACATTAAATGTACAAGATTAAATTATTCTATACCTTTTTAATTTAAAAACTAGTTAATACACTTTATTTTTGGTATTTTGCATAAGGTACATAAAAACGTCGAAGAATGGATAAAACCTAATTCACTCATTCAATTTTTGGTAGATTATAATTAAGACAAAAAATTAAATAGAATTTTTAAAATCTTCTTAAATTAGAGTTTTTAACGTTTCAACTCAAGTAATAAAATTTCATTTTCGATTCGAGCACTTTCGTTTAATTCTTCATCCATAACTTTTTTCTTTTGTAACTTGAGATCATTTATTGCTTTTTTGTTTTTGCTTTTTAGGACGTTATTATTATCGGTGAGCTGTTTTTCTTCTTTTTGTTTAGTAAGATCTTCTTGGTACCACTTATACGCATTGAGACCACAGTGAATTAAAGATTTGGTTACAACAAAATCTTCAACATTAACTACGCTCGACTTTATGCTGTCATAAATTAATCTTTGAGCAATTAAGGATTTTTCTTTCTGATTTTCTACTATCATTTCTTTGTTTACTGAAAATCCTCTCTCTAATGCAGCGTTTCCGTGTGAAAGAATTAATATGCTTTTCACGAACCAAAATAAATCTTCGTAGCTTCCTTCTTTATGAGTTTTGATCACATCCGTCCAAAAATTATCTAAACGTTTATCTGACAACAAATTGTACTTTTTTAATTTTTCTCTCGTACTAGACAAAGAATAAAGTTGTAAAAAATCTCGTTCAATTTTATCAGCTTTCGATCCTGATATTAGCTGGTTGTCAACATAAATTTTCAAAGCTGCACACAAACGTTTTTTAAACGATTCTTTATAAATTGCTACATCCGGATTTAAAAACGATACTGCTTTTACTATTGAATATTTTAATGGAGATCTTTTAAGAATTTTATCGATGGAAGTTTTCATAACCTTACGACAATCATTCTTAAATTGAAGAATTTCCAAAGAAGTAGCTCCTGCACGTCGACTCAAGTCTAAGGCGTGTTTCGTAGCATAACCGACATTTATCTTATTTGCTGGCAATAAATTATCTTCGGATTGAAGGTCTAATTTAGCTAAATCTGCTTTCTTCAGGACTTCCTCTTTTACAATTCTCATCAAAATGTTTTTACAAATATTTAGCAAATTGTCATAGAGGAATGGAATTAATGGTTCATTCGATTGAAACATTGTGAGAAACGGTTGCAGTTCACAAGCGAATGCCTCAAAAAATACAAGCTTAGCTTCTAGAAGTTTGTCGTCTATATTATCAAGAATTATCTTAAAACTTGTGGTTTTTGGAAATTTTTTTTCTTTTTTCGAATTTTCTACGTAAAGTTTCACATGTGGCAAAATTTCGATAGTGCGGCGAACTACAGCAACATTCTCCAACCAACGAGTTCCGCAAAATTTCATTGGATATTTAGTTGAACCAGATATAGCAGAATAATCAGCTCGACGTGCAGGTTGATTTTTAAAAAAATTATAAAGCGCTCGAAGGAAACTAATCAAATTCCAATTAGTACTTTCTATGCCAGTCTTAAAAGCTCCGCTTACAACGTGCAAACCACAAGATCCTAAATTCAACATTAATCGATTAAAATTTTCAGAAAATTCCGTCTGCAAATCATTAAAAAACTTCCAATTGACATTAGGTCCATCCATAGATATTTGAATTATTTTGCATCTCAAATCATTCGGTATACAATCCATGAAAGCCTGTAACAAGTCATTTGCTGTTAAGTGACCCAAAAAAGCAGAAGTCCAATAGCGCGTAGTTACTTTATCACATTGGTCGTCCCAAAAACGAATTGAAATGTCCATTTGATTTCGTTGACTTACGGAATTTAAACACTCGTCAAATCCTACAACAATAGCTTCGCATTGTTTAAGTTTTGTTTCTAATTCTTTTTGAAAATATTTGCTTATGCCATAATTCATTATGTAGGATGCTTTATCTTTACCAAGTCTCATCTGCTTAGCAATTTTGCTATCATGGAACACAACTTTAGAAATAGAAACAGTTGATTCTATATCACGCAATGAGCTATGGCGCATTACTCCATGAATACAACAGAGTATCTCTGCTTTTGTTACCTCATCAGAGAGCAAGTATTTCTCAATAGTTTTAGGCTGTGAGGTACTATTTTCATTATTTGTTATTAATGGAGCAGCAGGAGTCTGAATATTTGAATTGTTGTTTTCAACAAAGTTACTTTTTTCTATATTAAAGTTGAACAGTGGTGCATTCGTATTACGGGACTTAAATTTTACCATATGTTTCTTCCCTTTTTCCTGACTTTCGAGAGCTGACTTCCCCATGTTATCGATGCGAATAGTTGCATGGCACCAAGTGCAAAGTGCAGAATGTCTATCTGTAGGGACTGATTTAACCCACGGAAATTGGTTAATATAATCTTCACTATAAGTGCATTTTTTATTCGATTTCGGCATGATATGATTCCTGTTTCAAAAAGGGGTTCACATTAATAATTTATTTATTATATTTGTAACGCGTTCCGAAAAAGGGACTAAGGAGCTAAATATTTTACTTTTTTATTTTAAAATTAAAATTTACAAGAGATCAATTCAAAATATAAACCATTGATATTTAGGACTTCATTACTCACAAAATATTTAATAAAAACTAATTTTGCTATTACACTGTTAATAAAAAACAAAAAACGTATAATCAATTTAAAACTGACACAAACATAACCTTAAAATTATTTGCTTCTTAGATCCTTTTATTCAGAACGTGTTAAATTACACTAAGGAAAAAATATTTTTTAAAATAAAATTAAACCTTTTATTTCAATTATTTTTCTGATGACTGATATTTCATGAAAAGTGTGAAAAAAAGGAATCCATTAATGAATATTGCAACATGTACTTTTGACAGATGTTTTTTACGTTCCTGCAGCTTTGTTTTTTCTTTAAGTTGTATACATTTGTCCGAAAGTATAGTTATGTAGAATGGAACACTTGTAAGAATATAAAGACAAGGCAGTGGACGTAGTATGTGAATTTGCTTGGCAGTGGGTAGGGTTTCAAAACCCGAACGGTAAACACGCGCCAGAAGTAAACTTGAGTAGATATGATATTACACTGTTTCACTTCATCGATATTTGCAAGCTCGAGATGTATCGTCGGTCAGCAGGACGCAGGACGAAAATAAAAATTTTAAGGTTAGGGGTGTTTGTTTACTATAAGTTTATTTTAAATTTTGACAACATTATTAAGTTATGTTTAGGTGGAACGTTTATGAACTATTTCATCTAATTTTTTGTATCCAAAAGTGGTTGAGAAAAAAATTCTTATTTAGTTATTCGAAAAATTCCAGGACCAATTGAAAAATTCAAGAACTTTTCCAGGTTTTCCAGGTAAAAAAAAATTCAAGGACTTTTCCAGGTTTTCAAGGAATTCCAGGTCGCTAGACACCCTGAATTAACGATGAAGTTTTGTAATGTCTTCACGCAGAATCTTGTCACATATAAAGAAGCAATTGAATCTGAAGAAAAAGACAAGTGAAACGAAGCAATTGATGACGAAATTAAATTATTAGCAAAAAATGATGTGTTGTCCATACTTCAGGGCCAATAAAATATAAAGCAAGACTAGTAATTTCTTGGGTTTAAAGACACTAATGCATACGATCTGAAAGAAACATATGCACCAGTTTCCAGACTGACGTCTCGAGTAAAATACGACAGTTAAAAGTTTGTAAAATGAATAAAGCTCTTTACGGCTTAGGAGTCAGTTCCAAAAGATGGAATAAGAAATTTATTGAAGTAGCTAATTTTTTGGGCTTAGTAAGTAATGATTACGACCCTTGTTCATTCACAAACTCAGACATATGACATAATGGGCTGATATAATGACAAAACCACTTTGTCAGGGTGGCCACCAAAACTCGTGAATAAAATTCACGTCTATTTCCCGGTTTTTTTAAGGTTTTTAAGAAATTTTCAAGGTTTTTTTGTTGGTTCAAATTTTACTATAGTAATACTTAAAAAATTCAACTACTTCCACATTCTTTATTATTTTCTATTGCCGAATTTTTTATAGGCTTTTCTTACGATTCTGAACAATCAATCGAATAGATTTTAAAAAATTCAGGGTTGCCACAAATATTTAATTTTATTTTCCCTGACTTTTCCCTGATTTCCAGACAAAATTTTCACTCTTTCCCTGACCATAAAGAATATTCTGATTCACTCTAAAAATTATTAGATACTCAAAAAAACATTCTATTACATTTACTTACGAATTTCTTAAATTGTAAAATTATTCGCAAACATCAATAACTAAATTTTTAAATTTTTAAATAAGTATTTAATTATTATTTTTCCATAGGAATTAAAATTTTTCGAAACATTCAAATTCAAACATTTTTAAAATTCAACAACTTTTATAAGAATATTTTTATAAAACATGAAGATGGCGATTGCTCCGAGTCGAAGACTCGGAGTGATCGATTTCTTCATGTTTTATAAAAATTTTAATTTCCATAAAATTTAAAAAAAAAATTAAATTATTTACAAAAATTATAATAAAATTCGTTGCAAGAATTCAATTATTTTCATAAATAATAAAATTCTTCACATGGTTTCAATTATTTTTAATACAATTTTAAATAAATTTCTCGAAAAATAAAATTATCTTCAAAAATTTTTTGCAAGAATTAAATTAGGTAGGTACATTTTACAAATAATGAAATTCTTCGCTGAAATTAAAAATTTTCAAAATTTACATTTTTAATACAAGTTTTCAAAAGAATATAATTATTTAAATAAAATATAATAAAATTAGTTGCATAAATTCTATTATTTTTATAAGTAATAAAATTTTTCATATGAATTCAATTATTTACAGAAAATTGATAAAATTCGTTGTAAGAATTCCATTATTTTCATAAATTAAAAAAATTTTCTGAGGATTTCAATTATTTATAATACAATTTAAAGTAAATTCCTAGAAAAATGGAATTATTCTCTTAATTATTTTGTAAGAATTTAATTACATTTCACGAATATAATGAAATTCTTCGTTGAAAATTCAAACATTTTCACAATCTGCTTTTTTAATAAAAGTTCTCAAAAGAATTCAATTATTTAAAAAATGTAATAAAATTCGATGCAGGAATTCAATTATTTTCATAAATAATAAGATTCTTTACATTATTTCAAATATTTAAAAAAAAATTTGAAAAAATTCATTGCAAGAATTCAATTATTTTCATAAATAATAAAATTCTTCACAGAATTTCAATTATTTTTAATACAATTTTAAGTAAATTCTTCGAAAAATGTCACTATTTTCAAAAATTTTGTTAAAATTCTTCGAAAGAATTTAATTATGTATTTTTAAAAATTCATGCTATAATGCTTATAATACTCAATTATTATCTAAAATTTTAACTAATATTCATTTTCAAATAAATTTTTATTGGAAAATTCTACAAGAATTCAATTATTTAAATACAAAAATAAATAATTTATTGAATAAATGAATGTTTTTCGAAACTAAATTAACATAAAGAATTTTATCAACAAATTTGATTAATGTCGAGAAATTTTAATCAAATTTTTAAGAATAATTAAATTTTTCGAGGAATTCAATTAAAATTGTATTAAAAATAATTGAAATTCTATGATGAATTTTATTATTCATGAAAAGAATTGAACTTTTGTAAAAAATATTATTATTTATGAAAATAATTGAATTATTGCGAAGTTTGCTTAGAATTTTATCAAAAATTTTTTTTTAAATAATTGAATTCTTTTGAAAATTTTTTTTAAAACTGTAGATATTGAAAATCATTGAATTGAGGAAAATTTTTTGAAAATAATTGAAATTATGCAAAGAATTTTATTAAAATTTTAGAAAATTATTGAAATTTGGAGAAGAATTTTATTATTTTTAAAGATAATTGAATTTTTATGAGAATTTTTTAAAAATTTTTGAACATAATTGAATTTCTGCGAAGAATTTTATTATTTTTGAAAATAATTGAATTTCTGCAATCATTTGTAACTTCTTTAAAATTCAAATTTTTTCCAGTTACTAAAATAAAAATCCCCGACTTTTCCCTAACTTCCCTGACCAATTTTACTTTCCCTGACTTTTCCCTGAATTCCCTGATTTCCCTGACCTGTGGCAACCCTGAAAAATTTTAATTTTTTCGAAAAATAAAATTTGAAAAATGGTCAAAAATTTGTTTTTCAGTTTTAATAATATATAATAATAAAATTCAAAGTTAATAAAAAAATTCACGTCCATTTCAAGGTTTTCAAGGTTTCAAGGCCCGGTGGCCACCCTGTTTGTTATGAAAATCATGCGAAATTAAGAAATAAAATCTTAAATAACGATCTTTAATAAAAGCATAATTTATTTATTTAGATAAACGACTGTAATAATGATAATAAATATCGTTTCTTTTAATTAGTTTCACCGAAAAAACGTTAATCTAAATTTAAGAATATCTTCTTGGCTCCTAGTTAAGTATATTGTATACTTAAATTAAGTATTATACTATTCTTAAAATGAGAATATATTCTTATTTTAAGAAAAATATATACTAAAATATATATTCTAGAATATATAAAATATAGATATATAAATATATTAATATAATATAATAATAATATATTATTATAATATATTATTATAATATAATAATAATATAAATAGATTTATATATAAATATAAATATCTAGAATATATAAAATATATATTAACGTTTTTTCTGTGTTTCAGAAATCAGAATAAATAGATGACAGCGGACCATCAGTTGATTTGACAACTTTCATAAACGAAGGACGAGTTAATAGTATATTAAGCAACAAGGGTATAAAGGCAGCCATTTGTTTACGGTGATTTTTGTGACACGAGTGAAGGTCGAGGGCGCCGTAGGTAAAAAAAAATAAAAATCAGCGTAAACAAATTGGCTGCCTTTATTCCCGTGTTACTTACAATATTTTTTATTCCTAATGCACAAAAGTGGCGATTTCAGATAGCAGACGACAGGGAGTAAAAGTCATTTACTTGTTCGACTTATATGAAAATGGCGGCCGTTTTCTCCCTTGGGCAAAAATAACGCATGGGATCAGCGGTTATGTTTGCACAAGGGCGAAAATGGACGCCATTTTCATATGGTCGAACAAATGAGTGACTTTACTCCCTGTCGTCAGCTATCAAAAAGCGCCATTTTTGTGCATGTGGGATAAAAAATAAATGAACGGAGACTCAACCATATGTTCGAATAACCAAGGAGCTGTGATTAGCTTGTGATCATTAAAGATCATACAAGTTAAAAATTCGTTAGTTTGACTTTTATAAACTTAGTACGTAAGCTAATAGTTGTTAAGAGTCAATCTCAGTAGCGCACATGTGCGCAACTGTTTGACGAAGGCTGAAGCTTGCTCCATTAGAGTCTTTGAGTCTGTTCACGCAGTTTGTTCTTTTCTAAATAAACTTTTATCATTTAGAGATCTCGGTTAATATTGTTTACTCTGCCCAATATACCACTTTATCAAAACTCATCATTAAATATATTGTGAGGATATCGCTATTGCTTGCCAAGTATACAGGGAGTTCCTACTTCCAGAATGCTTTTGGGGGATTCACCGGAAAGGGGGATGTCCAATTATGACGCCGATATATCGCTTGGCTTCAGGGAAAGATGATATGGTGGGAGATCTATAAAGAGGTGTGAGAAAAGGGACACATCTTTTCGAAAAACTGAATAATTAACACGTGTACTATACTCTTATGAGAATCGAAATTCTACATTATATTATAAACTATGATCATTTATAAACTATTATCTATTAATAAACAATATTATAATTAACGCGGATCCGCGAGTTTAGTGATTGCTATTTGTGAAGTGATACATTAGCATTAAATATACTCTATTTCCCGTAATAATCTTTATATTACGACGGTGGTAACACCTGAATAAATTGTGATAGTTTGCAACTCAGCAAATTAAATTGACTAATACTGTGTATTCAATTATAACTGTGATATCACCCAAAGTTAATAAATTGGACTTTTCAACGATCAACATTTTCATATTCGAGCAATCTAACAATTGGATTTCTTAATAAGGATGTTTTGAAGGATTTCATCTTATTTTATCATCTGGCCATCAACACGGTGCACCAATTTCCCATACTGAATCTCACGACGAATTTCGCTAAGTATTTTTTTTATAGTACCTAATTTGTATTTTTGATATGTTTATTTAAAGGTGTGCGTATGTGTATGTATATTTATAATTGTGTGTGAATTTTATTAATGATAGATTGTTCTGCGATAATCCGTGATATTTCAGCCATTGTTGTAGTCATGCGTGTAAAACTTTTATCCCCTCAGTTTTATGAGTAATGATTTATGTTTTTGCGAATATCTCGTCTTATTAGTAGATCAATTGTTTTCTTATTTTTGAATATATCATTTTTTTAAAAGAAAATTAACTATAAAGTAATGGGATTTAGAAAAGCAAATTACTGTAAAGGGAAATTTTGATAATCGTTAAAATTTTTTTGAATAAATTATTATAATTCAGTGACCAAAATTATTATTTGTGATTGTTTTATTTAACCTTCTATTTATTTCTCTTCAAATTTAATATTAATTCCCCAGTTTCATTACAATATTACATTAGAGGAAAACAAATACGCATGAAATTTTTAGGAAGTCAAATGCGCATGTGCTTTTAGTGGGTAAAAATTTTACTTTAACCGCACTTGTAATGGTTTTACCAGTGGTAGATGTCACGCTTCTTGGAAAAATAACTGTTTCCTTGATAATCGAATCCGTGCCCGGGGCTGTGGACTAGGGAAATATTCTTTGTTTCTGTAGGAAATTTCCTACATAGGAACTTACATAGGTTCCTATAAAGAATCCTATAAGAATATACATGGGATTCCTTGCAGAAACCTATATCCTTCGCGCTACCAACGATTTTTTTAGTCTCGTACATACTTTTTTAATTTCTACAGATAAAAAAGAAGAAATGTAAAAAAAAATAATTTTGTCATTTTTCAAAAGTAGATAATAGTTTGTTTAGTGAATTAAAATTGCGATTCGATTGATGCAAAAGTCGAGCAGATTTACAACATTATATTTATTGCTTGGTCACCCCGGGTGACCGCTCCGGAGCGCGAAGGATATGGGATTTTCCAGTAGAGAGGAACCCACCGAAACTTCACTTATTCAAACTCTTAATAATCGACAAACATACTTTCTTTTGTAAGTATTTATTTCTGTTATTAAAATTTAAGATCAGATTAGCCTATTCAAAAAATAAATCTGATAATCTAACTATTTGTAATGAAGTAACCTTAATCTTGTACAATCTTTTGTCCGATATGTGAATGAAACATCGATATCATTGTAATTTTCAATAGGATTCTGCAACAGACAAAAAGAATTAAAATTGATTTAAATATAACCTTCAGTCCACACTGTAGAAAGTACTGATATAAAATAACTTTCAGTGTTCAAAATAATTACATTTAGAACTATAGCTTTATTAAAATCAATATTACGTACACTTTGCAAGAAGAAGTGAACCGCCGGCGACCAAAAGGACTTACGCACGGTTTTCGTTGGCCCCTCGAAAAGCGGAGACTCACTGAACGCGGGGCCAACGAAAGTCACGCGTAAGCCATTTGGTCGCCGGCGGTTCAAGTGATAACGGTAGTAATAATTTAGTGACTGACTCATTCGTGATTCATCTGTTCCTTAAGAGGACATTCCAGTTCAAAATGTGAAAAAATCGACTTTTTTTATTTTCAGATTTCTTATAGTGTCAAGAATACTCTCCAAAAATTTTATTGCAAAATTCGAAGTAAAACAAAAGTTATACATACTTATCCTTTAACCTGCGGGGCTGGTCGATATATCGACCAGACGTCAGGTCGGGGACTCTACCTGATATATCCAGTAAATCTATATATAAATTCTAAATTTTGTGTAGGTAAATTTGTTTTGAAATTTTCCCGCAGCTAAAAGGTTATTCTTCGCCATGTCAAAGATGATTTGTACGCGGATAAGCAGAACCCAATCGAATGATTTAAATATTTTCTTATTTGCATTTTGTAAAAAAGACAAACAAAAATGTATTTGGTGTTGCTAATCACAAATTAGATATCAAATTTTCAAAATTCAAAATGGCGGATCCAATATGGCGGAAGAGAAAATTAAAAATCAAGTGGATTAGCTTGAAAATCGTTGCTCGGGAGTTTTTGGGTTCGCTGATTACGAATTTGATATCAGATTTTTGAAATTAAAAATGGCGGATCCAATGTGGCGGCCATTTTTTTAAATCATCGGATTTGCTTAAAAATCATTACTCGGGGGTTTTCGGGGTTCTTGATTACGAATCTGACATCAGTTTTTAAAAATTCAAAATGGCAGACAATTTTTCAAAATTAATCGATTTTTAATTTCAAAATCTAATATCATATTCGTAATCAGCGACCCCAAAAACTCCCCAGTAACGATGTTTAAGAAAATCCGGTGATTTTAAAAAAAAATTGTCCGCCATATTGGATCCGCCATTTTGAATTTTTAAAATCTGATACCATATTTGTAATTAGCGACCCCAAAAACCCCCGAGTAACGGTTTTCAAGCAAATCCGATGACTTTTTTAAAAAATTGTTTAAACTTATTAATCAAAACTTTATAAGTGCATTTATCTCAAAATGTCTTTTTTTGATCTGGTAAAAGTGATATCTCGAGTTTTTATGAAGCGACTAGCTGTCGTACCCGTCTTCGACGGGTTTTAGTTTCTACTAATATATTTGAAGAGGTGTCTACCAATCGGGAATTTAATTTGATTGGGAAAAACTAATAATTAGTTACATTAACTATTTCATTAGAAAAATATTACTGTTTGAATCAGTAAATGACTTTTCCTATCAAATACTATTTTCAACTAATTCAGATTTACAGAACAGTATTTGTCAGTTTGTAGTACTTTATGCGTTTGTAGTATTTCAATTAATATATGAAAAATTAATCCTAATTTTCCACCAGCTTTTGGAGTTATGTAGAGTAATTCGAACTAATTGTATCGCAAGTAGACCCTACGTTACGACTGCTAAAATCTAAAATAAGACCTATATTATAGTCTGAATGTAGGGCTTAAATTTTGACAAATAAAAATATTACATCAATAAAAAGTAAAGCAAAAAGCAATTTTTAAAAACGAATTTACATTTACGTATGGTAAATTGCGACACGATTTTGAGTGATAATTATACCTTAAATAAACCCAAAAAGCCTATATTTATTTAAGAAAAAATCCCATGTAAAATCTATTTTTATTTTTTAGGTAGGTATAATTTTTCCATATCCCTATTGAAAATTTCCACATGGGATTTTACATTTTACCCGTTTTTGCTTAATGCCCAGATAGAATTTTGGAAAGCAACAACATACCCCAAACATTTCTAAAAAAATCTGTCCGCGCAAGCGCGGACACATTCTCATCCTCGCTTCGCGCGGGGGCTCGCTTCGCTCGCAAGTTTCAGCGCGCCTCGGGGCGCGCGATTATTGATCGTCGCGCTTCGCGCTCCGGCAATTATTTCGCACGTCGCGCTTCGCGCTCCGTGTGTTGTTGCGCGCTTCGCGCGCAAATGGCTCGCTTCGCTCGCCGGGGTCTGCAATTGTTGTGCATTATTTATGTTCTTGTTTTCTATTATATGTTTCATAAAACAGTTTTTTTTTCTTAAAGTTACTACGACTTTAAGGATTACATTCTCATCACATGTTTTAGTTTGCTGATGATTGCGATATTAAGTGAATTTAAATGTATATTTTTGGTCTTGATGATTAAAATTGTAAAGTTATTTTTAATTATACTAACTCTCTTAGTAAAAACATGATTTGCAGAAGCAGCTAAAATATTTTTAAAGAATTAGTATCAAATTTTTTATGTAGTGTAGACCGGAGCGTAATGACTAACTTTTCACTCTTTGTTTATTTACTCAGACATTTTTGTTTTAATTAAGTGTTTATCTCCTAGAAAAGTTACTCTGGTATATTACTTTCTCATATGTGATGAGAATGTAAAAAACCATTTCCAACAAGATAGGACCAAAAATTGAAATGTAAAAAGGGGTCACACCAGCGCAACTGTATTAAAAAAATTTCATTGATTTTCTAAAATGTTATATCTTTTATGAATATATTTTAGTTATAACATTTTAGAAAACCAATAACATTTTTTTAACCCAGTTGACCTCGCCTGACCCAAAAACTTAAAAAAAAATTAAGTTTCTATGAAAAAATGTTGTAGAGAAAAGTTGTTTGTATTTTTCTAATCGAAAGTAATATAAAATTAAAAATATTGAAATTTGAAAAAATTGAATTTTCAAAATTTTGAAACTACTGTAGTTTGTGTAGTTTTCGACGAAAATGGCTGGCTAACGAACTCGATCTGTATTTTAACAGTAACTTTGTGCATGCAAAGTTGCAAGTTGATGCAATAAGTTTTTCAAGAGTTATCGTAGGGACACCATTGTGTCTACAGACAGACACGAAGACAGACATACGGACAGACACTTTTTCTAGACCATGTTTAACAGACTCAGGGGACCCCAAAACGTCGAGATTTCAAGAAATTAGCGAAAGTCAATTTTCGACCAATACTAATACTTTCTCATGTGGTAATAATGTAAAAATGATTAAAAACAAAAAATATATTCAAATAGTGCAATTGAAAATGAAAAAATCATATTTCGAATTTTATATCGGTTAACCAGAACTCAAAAAAAATTTGTTTAATTTAGAAATACTAAAAAATTAAATTTTTAATAACTTTAAAAAAAAAATTTCTGAGTAATATGTAAAGCAATATTTCTAAACAATGTTGAGAGACAAAAAAAAATATTTTGATATGAAAATAAAATTTTTTAATTCTAGATAAACCGTTTGGCTAAATCTGGCCCAAAAACTTAAAAAATATACCTGGCCCAAGAACTTAAAAAAAAAAAAAAAAAATTCATAACTTTTTTGTTTTTTGTTGTACTGAAAAGTGTCTAAAGGAAAAGTTGTTTGTTTTTGCACCAAATTTAAGGAAAAAATTTTAAAAAAATATTTTTTTCAAAATTGTAAAAAATACAATTTTATTTTTTATTTTTCATATTTTTTTCTAAAAACCATTTTTTTGGAATCAGGGGGTTATGAAACGTAAAGATTTAGCAAAATTAGACATTGCTCAAAATCGCACAAATCCAAGACTTTCACATTTTTGATGAGAATGTAAAAAAAAAATCAAAAAAAGGCAGAATTTTTGAAACTTTTGAGTTCTTTCTTGTTCCTAATTTTGTATTTTTACCTAAATTTGGCATCTAAAAGCAAAAAAGTAAGGTTTCGATATGTTTTTAATGTTTTCTCATGTTTCGGCTAATGCTTCACTCACTATAAATCTCAATTTTTTGCACTTTTTTGGAAAAAATTTTTTTTAATTTGTGTAAAAGATGCAATTGTCGATTCTAATGTTAAGAAAGGTGTATTAGCATAATGTGAACTAATTTTTATTAACACGGCCCCAATATGACAAATTTTCTACTGAAGAGAAGGCTGACAAAAAGTCCAAAAAAAGCAATAAATAGCAAATTTTTAAAAAATTAAAAAATTCATAACTTTTATGTTTTTTGTTGTACTGAAAAGTGTCTAAAGGAAAAGTTGTTTGTTTTTGCACCAAATTTAAGGAAAAAATTTTAAAAAAATATTTTTTTGAAAATTGTAAAAAATACAAAATTTTGAAAATTTCAAAATTTTGTATTTTTGTTGTTTTTTGACGAAATGGGCTGCCCAACGAACTCAGGCTTCATTTTTATGGACTAAAAAAGTGTGCCAAATTGCAAGACGATTCATAAAAATTTATTCGAGTTATCGTGGCGACAAATTTTTCTACAGACAGACGACAGACAGACAGACAGACAGACGGACAGACACTTTTCTAAAAACCATTTTTTTGGAATCAGGGGGTCATGAAACGTAAAGATTTAGCAAAATTAGACATTGCTCAAAATCGCACAAATCCAAGACTTTCTCATTTTTGATGAGAATGTAATTAAAGAAACAAAATTTTAATTCATAAATAGGAATTTGTTATTTATTTTTATAGTCATTTTTAAAACATTTCTAGAATTCAAATATAAGAAAATTTTGATTCATAAATCCCAATTTGCCCTAATGGCGTTTTAAGGACTTTATATGTTACCGTGCCCGCTGAAGTTAAATAAAATACATGCTATGAAATTTCCAAACTTAAAACATTAAAATAACAATACATAAATTATTTGCAAACTCACGTTAATTGATTTTAGACAATTTGTAATAGACATCAAATTCATGACTCTAAACTTGTTAATAAAATAAATGTAATGAATGTAAT